CCCAGTGTACGAAGGGTCATGTATCTTATAGGATTAGCGTACATGTAAGGTTATATTTGGGAAAATATATAGCTATATTTTTATATAACCTGAGCGAGTTTCTCTCCATCAACTCCCAAAGCTACAAACCCCCCATGTCACCCCCGTAAAGCGGGTAGTTGTGACAATATGGACCACCGCGCCCTTAGTAACTCAGTATAAATAGATAAATAAAATACAAAACAAAAACAAAATTAAAACACATAATCTGTTTCTTTGATTTTTTTATAAATTTTTTGGTTTGATTTGATAAAAGAAGGTTGTATATACAATGTGTCCAAGACAAGGAGGGCCAGTATGGGGATATGATGACATGGTGGCCCAGAAACAAAACGTCCCATCACAAATTTGATAATGCTGTATTGTAGAGGAGGAAAAGTGGCAATGATGAAGTGCCATTTTTTTGACATATCTCTTCAAATAAGGTCAGGAAAAATCGAGGGGTGAATAGCTGACCCAAAATGTGTACACCTACTGCCAAATTCCACAATCTTTAAGGAAATTTGCAAAGATTGTGAGTGATTGTGTACGATTGTGAGTGATTGTGTTATGATTGTGACTGATTGTGTAAGGATTGTGAATGATTGTTTAATATAAAAGATGTATAACAACAAAATATCAAAACTAAATTTTTCTCCGTAATTTTAACAAATTAGAAAATATTACCTACCATAATGAACGTGTTGAGAATATTACATATTACTAATTGAGCAGTTGTAGAGGGTGTCCCATTTTGGTTGTACATAAGGGATATCTCTGTTGCTATTATTAAAGTTAGAAGGATACTGCTTTTGCGAACGTTGTTTTCTTTTTTGCCAAACGAAAAATGCTGTCAACAAAAATGTCATCGCCTTTTCTTTTTTCAGATACAAGGTCTTTTTGAAAATGTTACATTTTGGGGCACCCCCTCGGACACCCCTTGTATCTTTTATGAGTGGTTCAGAAGATGACAACAGGTTCTTAGAGATCTTTCTATGGAGATTCCATTGGCGGTCAGTTTTTCTCTAGAAGTGATAGTTTTTGAATTAAGTACCAAACATACGTTTTTTAAAATGAGATGCACTGTGCACTGTATATTAAAAACTCATTGCATAGCTCTACATTTGCTGATTTCATTGATAGGAAGTTCGATAGGTATATCTCTATTATGTCTGTTTTTGTTCTAAAAAACCGGGTAAAAAACAATGTGCTTGAATAGTACTTTTTCCTACGAGCGTGCGCAAAGTAGTACTTTTCCGCACGCATTTCCGGGCTCAAAGTTACACTTTTCCGCACTCAGTGCAGATACAGGCCCTATCCGCACTGAGTGCCGAAAAGTAATTATAATTGTCAAGCAACAATAAGTGCACCTGTCGACTTTGACACATGATGACAAATTTTTCCTCTGTTTCTATATCAGCCAACATTTATACAAACACCAAATATAAATTAACTTTGACACATTGTCAGATTTGTTCTCTATTTATATGCAAAAATCTACAAACTTTCTCATCAAATTTAAACGCTTTAAGATGAACAGCTCTGATGAGGATTTTCTGTTATTTTTTTTTGTTATGTAATTTTTTGATAAATGCATAGGTTCCCTTCAAGTTAATTAAAAATAATTAAACAAATTATCGTTTTTTTTTAAATTTTTGTTATTACCTACCTGATATGAAGCTTGTAGGAAAAATTTTGTTCCTAACACGTGCGCAAAGTGTCTTTTCCGCACGCAAACACGTATGCGAACTCCGCTTCGCGTCGTTCGTATAACTGTGTTTGCGTGCGGAAAAAGTAACACTTTGCGCACTTGTTAGGAAAATAACTATTTCTACTACCGTGCGTAAAGTACTCACTTTACGCACTATTCAGAAGACGTGAAATTACACTTCACGCACTAGTGCGTAAACTGTAAAGTGAAAATACTTCACGCACTAGTAACTAAATTTGTCTAAATCTATTTTTTTCACACATATTTGATTGGTAGTAGAAAAAATTTTGTATGCAATACGTGCGTAAAGCACCTTTTTTCACTCATGTGATTGTCGCACTCGCCTTCGGCTCGTGCGTCAAAATTCACATTCGTGAAAAAAGGTTCACTTTACACACTTGTTGCATAAATAACTATTATATCTGTAAGGAAAATGAGAAAGGTCTCTTTCTAACACATTGTTTCTTATGACAAAAACAAAACAATTTTGCACGAAAACTGTTAGAAATAAACCTATCGAACTTTATATCATTGAGATCCGCAAAAGTAGAGCTACCCAATTATCCAATGAGTTAATAATATAGAGGGTATCTCATTTGAAAAAACAGGTTTGGTTTGGTTCATAATTCAAAAACTAACACTTCTAGAGAAAAACTGACTACGCCACTGGAATCTACGTAAAAAGTTCTACACTATATTTTTTCCCAAGATAGATTTTGACATTGTCAACTTTGAAACAATACTGCGTGTCTCTGGTCGCAAAATGCTGTGTCCTTGCAGGTGAGGTATCCTTTCACATGGTTGGAAAACGATACCTTCGTCGAATGCAGGTACACGGCATCTTGCGATCAATAAGCGGCATTGTTTATGTTTCAAAGTTGTCATTGTCAAAACTTGGAAAAAAATGCACTGTATAAGAATTCGTTGTCACCTGATCGCTTATGAGAGAACTGAGATATACCAAGGGCTCTCCCAATATGCAACATTTCCAAAAAAACCTTGTATCTGAAAAACAAAAAGGGCGATGAAAATTTTGTCGGTGGCATCTTTTGATTGGCAAAAAAGTAACCACCGTTCGCAAAAACTGCATCCTCCTAAATCTAATAGCAATCGAGTTATCCCTTATATACTACCAAAATTTGACAGCCTGTACAGGGTGGCGCAGAGGAAACGCATGTTTTTCACTTAGATATAAGTATAACATTTTTTATTTTAAAGATAATTTTGTTTTAATTACAGCAATAAAGTAATAATAGTGCACTTTTAAATTATTTATGGAAAATAATGTCAGTCAAGTATTGTCCTGCCTTGTGAGCACACATCTCCAACTGCTCTTGAAAGTTGTGCATCACACTTGAAATATGCCTTTCCTCTGAGCCACACGCCTCCTATGGAATCGGAATTTTTAAAAATATATACCGGGTGTTTGAATTTGAAAAAATCATCACACATAATGAAGGACAAAAATTTTAATTAGTGACACAGGAAGATGATGACAAATAAAAGAGAATTTGTTGTGAGGTAGATACTTGATTTCAAATAAGGATTTTAGTTGCTTGAAAATGTTCTTAATTTTCTGTAACTCAAACTTTGATAGTGAAAATGGAATTTTTTTAAATGGATTGGACCATGTGATATATTTCTTTTCTATAACGTCCAGGGGATTCTATAACGAATAGAGATATATTCGCTATCTCTATTGACGCCCCCTCTCTATTGATTACGAAAAGAGAGAAGAAGACAGCAAGTGCCAAAGGGATAGGGATAACGATCTCCATGCGTTACAGAATCCTGCCTCAGTCTGGATTTTCAGGCCCTTTAAAGACTTCTTAAATAGTTAAATGTCATTCTCTACTTTTGTCAATTTTCAATTTTCCAATGTGGTATTTGTTAGAGTAGGCAACTGCACAATACTATTCTACTTCAAGCTTTTCTCCAAGCTGATGTTCTGCATCATTGAAATATTCCTCTCCACTTTCTTAATCATGAAGGCTAATTAATGACTCTGTTGATTCTGATCGAGATTCTGAGATTCTGATGTTTCATCATCAACCACCAATTTGGTGAAAATTTTGTACTTTTTCAGATTATAGCTTTTTTTTGCGGTTTTAGTACTTTTAAAGTTTCTTTTTTTCTTAGTTTCTACTATTTTTCTATCTATTTTTTATTAGTTCTTTCATTTTTTTATTTGTTTTGTTGTATCTTTTCTTGATATCTTTCTCCCTCACCCTAAAGGTACGGTTTGTTGGGAGAGTACGCGACGCACAACTGACAACGTAAACGTCGTCATTGGTTCAGGTATGACGTACACCTGTTACCTGACGTCAGCGTCAGAAAACGGGTGTACGTCATACCTGAACCAATGACGACGTTTACGTTGTGAGTTGTGCGTCGCGTACTATCCTAACAAACCGTACCTTTAGTAACCTATCTGATGATAATTTCCCATATTTTTCTGAAAATAGTCAACATAAAGAAGTTTTCTTTTTCTTTACTGTTAGTAGTTTTTTATTTCTCTATATTACTTGGATTTAGGGTAAATTCTTTTTGGTTTTAAAGTTAAACTTGTCTACTAATCAAAAGGGCTTAAGTATTGGCTTATTATTATGGGTGAAAATAAAGTAAATAAAACTATTTGGTAGGACCCCACGTGCGACAGATGGTGGTAGATTGGGTAACGATTTTGTAACGATTGTAGGATATTGTGATACGATTGTGAGAGATTGTGTAACGATTGTGACAGATTGTGTGAGATTGTGTGAGGATTGTGACAGATTGTGTGAGATAGTGTAACGATTGTGACAGATTGTGTGAGATTGTGTAACGATTGTGAACGATTGCGATCTGATTGTGAATGATTGTGCGAAGATTGTGAGAAATATGTACACCGACTGCAAGAGCTATTCACCCCTCGGGAAAAATAAAATTGTTTTGGGCAAATTTCAGGTTTTCCCAGATATCTCCGGTATCACTCAGAATTTTTGAATTATCAGAGTGGTATTTGCAAAGGGTATTTGGTATTTTAATGAGCACAAATTTGCGCAACTTTTTCCTAATTTGAGCAATGTTGTATCTTTTACTGTTCCTGAGATCCCCATACTGGCCCTCCTTATCTTGGACACATTGTATAAGATTGGTTTATATAAACAGCCTAGAATGTCACAAAATACATATATAGGTAAATATCGAGGTAAATAAATATATCTTCAAAATAAAAAGACATAAAAGTAATAAAATTGCATTGCATTCAAAATGAAATGATAACTCTTACCTGCACTGCTTGTTGGGGCTCCAATACCAAATCCTGTGCTAGTAGTAGCTACCCCAAATGCTGGAGGGTTTGTAGGGTTAAAAGACAGTGTGGGAGCTGCTGCAGGTGCGGCCCCAAATAGGCCTGTTGCTGGAGCAGCGCTACCAAACAATGAAGGGGGAGCCTGAGCCGGAGCTAAAATATTTATATATAAGTATATAATTCTCCAATTCAAAAATAGAATAACCTGCTGCAGGAGCACCAAATAAACTTGGAGTTGCTTGTGCAGCTGGAGCTGGCGAAGTCCCAAAAGACAGCCCGGCAGGCTGGTTTGTCGAACCACCGAATGACAGGGTAGTGGAACCAAATGCTGGCGGAGCAGTGGTGCTAAAAATTACATGAAATAAAAATGCTCATAAGTATTTATACTAGCCAGGGAAGTTTGGTTACTTACGGGGCTCCAAATGAAAAATTAGTAGCCATTGTAGCGTAGCTTTAACTTGGCTTTTTTAATTAGAGGAAAAACAATTAAACATTTTAATAATCACAGCATTTTTGAGGGGCTCTTAAAACAGAAATAATACAATGACTAAAATTTTTGTACAATCACAATTCACAAACGAAAAAAAAAATCCAACAAACAAGTTGAAACAACACTCGACAAACAGCACAGGGCCTATGTTCCGATTATTTATGTGAAATCACAAGTTCCAGAGCTATTCGTTCGGAGTCGTTTGGAGTAGCTCCCAGAAAAAAACGTTTTTTAAAGGCGATTTCGGCAAGCTTTGGTACATGGTTTGGTACCCTGTTTGGTCTGTCAAATGCATACCAAACAATTTCGGATACGAAAATGATGTCGTCACCGTGACTTTGGTATCCTTTTTGGTCTGTCAAATAGGATACCGTGGTCAGCAGCACGGTTCTTCTATTTGGTATAGTGCTATCTACGTCTATTTTCGTTTTGTCCTGCTCTGCGGGAAATGTAAATAAATGGAAGTTCATTAGAATTTGAATAATTTGAAATTTTTAACAAATATGTTTGTTTTTTCGCCTTCATCTTCCTGTTTTCTCGTATGTTTTGACTGCCAAATAATGTTTGACGATCATTTGAAAAATGGCTTTGAACGACAGATATGGGGTAACTTTTATGCTGGATGGATTATGGAATAAGCTTTAAATTCACAGAAAACGCTGAGTTAGCCAATAGGTTACTCAAACTCAAAAGTACTGTCTAGACAGTGCTGATTAGTGATTATAGATTTTAGTCAGTGCAGTCAGTATCTAGTCGCTCCCGAAACTAGAAGAACAAAGTTAGGTTAAGGCTCGTCTCTTCCCCTCTCTCATGACCTACCAAACGAATTCGGAACAAAATGGTATCTTACGTCATTACTATGACGTTGCAGGTACCAATTGGTTAACCAAATGGTATACCAAGCAAAGCTTGCCGAAATCGCCTTAAAATCCAAGTGCTCCAGAGTACAGGTGTGACAATTGATTCGAAGATATTGGAGCATTCTGAGTATCTTTGCATCTTTTTCTATTCTATTTTGCCAAGAAAGAAATAGGTACATTTGTTTACTAGTTCTACAGTGGCTAAATAAGCCTTTACATACAGTGGCGACAATAGAGGTCACGCTGCCATCTTGTTCCCAACCTCTTGTTACTTTTAAATATTAATATATAGGATTTAAATGGACATCTATCATAAAAAATTGAAATCGACGTATTTGATGACCATTATCAGGTCCATCAAATACGTTGTTTATCATGATTTATGATGAATGTTCACCTAAATCCCATATATTCATATTTAAAAGTAACAAGGGGTTGGGAACAAGATGGCGGTGCTTTCAATATACCTTGCGTTCGGTATTTTGCTCGAAGAGCAGAGCGTGCAGAGCGGAGCCGTAACCACGTGACCAGCGAGCGAACAGAGCAGTTGAACGCTGTATAAAAATGCCAGAAATTTTAATAAACGAACGCGAATGAGGATACACCGAGTACACTTTTTGAATAAACGAACGGTAAAGTCAAGCTCGGAGAACTCAGACCAAAATAACGAACGCACGGATAAATATATGGGATTTTAGAAGCAATCAAAAATGAGACGCAATTGTCGCCACTGTGGGTTATAGAGTCACTGTAACTAGTTCTACCAACCTTTACGGGCCATCAGAGCCGGTATCACAAATCTTTTAAATCTGCGAGTGACTCGCATTTTATTTGAATGTCAAACTAGTCAAACATGGGGTAATTGGATGGGGGGTATTATAAAACTGCTATCACAGTTAACTTGAAGTTAACTTTTTGAATTACATGTAAATCCAGACGTTAACTTTAAGTTAACTCTCAAAGTAGTTTTATAATACCCGCCCTTAAAAAAGCAAGTGTTCTTTTTGTGAGTTACTCCGAGTGACTCTGGAGCTTGTATATCAAGGCTGAAGAGCCCCATACACTATAGCTTTGTTTTGGTTTCACTCAGAACTAGTTCGGAATCATTCTGCACATGCGCATATTATAAAACGCGTTTTGGTTTTTTCAGAATCGTAATCGAACTGTGTTGACAGTGTTTTGGTTTATCTAGAACTTTTTGAGAACAATTCTGGGCTTGTTCTAGAACGGTTCTCTCAGTTCTTTCGCTGAAGGAGGAACTGTTTTAGAATTTTGTGTTTTGGCTTTTTTGGGTTCTGAATCGGTTCGGAACTAGTATTACAACAGTCCTATATTATTTTTTGTACGCAAGCAGTTCTGCGCAATCCCAGAACCGTTCCAAATTTCGAACCAAAACAAAGCTTAAGATGAAACACGTCGTTCCAGAACCGAAGTGTGTGGTAGAAAACCGCCGTGTTTAACTACCACACACTTCGGTTTTGGAACGACTTGTTTCATCGTAGTGTGTGCCGTGTGGGGCCCTTTAGTTCGGCTTTACACCTTTTACACCAGTGCTTTTTACTCTGTAAGCTCTGAGCGCGCTCGGAACGATAAGATCCTGTTCGTTTTAGCTCTCAGAGTGTTCTCTTTTGCGTTGGGCTTATGACCGCGGATGACGTCACGATATCCATGCTCATACCGGTCCGCTCCGTGGAGTGCAAAGCCGAACTCAGCGACTTACATGTCGGATGTCATTTCGGAACTCGCCTATTTTTTTTTTGTTATTGGTAGTTATTCCCGCCAAAACCCAAAACAAAACAAAAAAAGAAACATGTGTTTTGTTTTGTTGTTTACGCTCCGGAATTTTTAGGTTGAATTTGTTAATTAAATTTTAAGTTTGTTTTCGTGGAAAAATGGCTAGCATTAACTACTATTTATCGTTAGCTACTGATGTTAAGTGTCGGTACGACGAAAAAATACAATTCATCGACAATGTAGACCCTTTCAAACTTTCTCCTAGTGAGTTTACTTTAACTGGCAATGAGTTGCCAGAGGTTTCAATTTTGGATTTATCTGAATATTTGACTCACGCCTACAGCTACTACACAAACTTGCAGTTAAAGGCGTATAAAGGTTTATCGGCCTTTAAATGTTTTGAAGCTGGAGCCGTCCAAAGTTTGCTTGCTAAGAAGATCAATGATTTTTTTGTTGTCCTTAGTAAGGTAAGCAAGAAAGTCAAGAAACAATGCACACTTTTTTTTTAATTTTTCTTTTCGCTTTTATGCAATAATTTAAAAAAAAAAAATACATTGAACATTATTCTTTCCTTTTTTTTCCAGATCAGGCATTCCCAAAAAAAACCTCTCGACACAGTCCACACTTGGGTCATTCTGCTCCCAGATGGTAGCATTTCAAGTGCTCATTGCACTTGTATGGCCGGTCTTGCAGAAGTGTGTAGCCATGTTGCCATAATTCTGTTTTATTTAATGTCGAGGCTTGAGGAAGACGCTTCTACTTCACAGTTACCCTTAGGGCCAGTTCTAGCTGTGAGAAAGACCGAAATGTCAAGTGTTTCAGACATGAAGTCGAGCACGTCACAAAGTCAGGTGTATAAAAGTAAAAGAGAAGATGTGCAACCTATGACGCAGGAAGAAACTGTAAAGTTTCTTCGGGATATAATGGCAACTGGTGTCACCCCTGCGATTTGTCGCATTATGGAGCCATTTGCTTCAGAATTGGCAAATAAATCACCAGAATAAATGCCTGAAAGTAAAACTACTCAATTAGGAAACCTAAAACACATGACTTGGCCAAGAGGCCAGTATTTTTAAATTTTTATGACGTTAGAATACCTATATATGTACAGGTCATTGCAATAGATATATATATATATATATTTTTTTTTTTTTTTTGGAATAGACAATAAGCAGAAAATCAAAAATGTGTGGCAGCATTAATTTCCAAAATAAAAACAAAACTTCCACCGATTAAAGCTTAGGATTAAAGCTATCCTCCCTCTATTCTCTTATAGTGTAAAAGACGCAGACAGGTTGCGATGTACAGGGTGATCTATTATAAATGTCACCTCTCCTAACTTTTTCATTCGAGGGAAGTGTTAAATACAAAAGTTTCAAAAAATTGTCAATGTCAAAAGTTTTTACCTAAGCCAGTTTTAAGCATACAGGGTGCGTCAAAATAGTGTAGCAGAGCAAAGTTATATTTATTTAATTAATGAAACACGATTGGGCGCTTATTTATTAGTCCATTTCAACCTGATTTCAACAATATGGTGGTTTTATTTAAAAAAATATAACTTATATATAACGCTCTGCTACACTTTTTTGACGCATCCTGTATGCTTAAGGGCGGGTATTATAAAACTATTTTGACAGAATAACTAAAAGTTAACTTCTAAAATGATGTTACTTCTCATAGTAATTCCAGAAGTTAACTCTTGGTTACCTATCTCTCAAGATAGTTTTATAATACCCAGCCTTAGTTAAAAACTTTTGACAATTTCTTGAAACTTTTGTATTTGATACTTTTGTCAAAAACGTCAAATGATAACGTCAGGAGGGAGTGACATTTATAATAGATTACCCTGTACAGGATTAGATTACCCTGTACGATAGGTTTATCTCTAACAGTTTTCGAGAAAAAAAATTATTTCGGTTTTTGTCATAAGTAGCAATGTGTAAGAAAAGGACTTTATATCTGTAAGGAAACTGAGAAAGGTCTCTTTCCAACACATTGTTTCTTATGACAAAAACCGAAATAATTTTTTTTCTCGAAAACTGTTAGAGATATATCGAACTTTGTATCACTGAAATCAGAAAAGGCAGAGGTTTCTAATGAGCTATTAATATATGGGGTGTCCTATTGAAAAAAACCAGACTTTGGTCAATATCTCGAAATTGGGACCAACCAGAAAAAAACTGAGAACGTCACTGAATTCTGCTTAAAAAAGTGCTTCCAGAAAGTTTTCACGGAAATCAATTTTTTCCATAAACAAAAAAGTTATGAAGGTTTCAGATTATTGCTCAAAATCGAGAAGCGCCCTCTAGCGGCTAAACGGTTGAAAATATCAAAATACGGTTTGCACCAATCAAAATTTCATGAAATTTGAGCCTCAGAGTGGGGGGTTCATTTTTTTGTATTTCGCTCAGAAATTGATGTTTCCTATTAAAAGTGTCTAAATTGGCCCACCCTGTACTAAGTTTCCCTCATGGTACAAGTAGTGTTGTAAAATTCTCGGTAATTTTCGAATGTTACCGAACTTTCGGGAATCTTTGAGAATTTTCGAGAATTTATGAGAACTTTGGAGAATGTTGCAAAAAAACCTATAAATTTGGCTTTTTAATGTTAGGCTTGTAAAAATGTCTATTCATAATAAAGTTCCACTAAATTTTCCTATTTTTCTTTTCTCTGGTAGGGGCAGGTAAATTTTCCATAAATGTAGATGTAAGCCTTGTCTAAGTATTATCAATTTATTGTAAAGAAAATGATAATATTTATAAAACCAATACAAGTATTGTTTATTATAAGTTGGTGTAATCAAAAACAAACTAAAAAACAACGTAGGTAGGATGTAGGTAGCAGTGGTAGCACCAAAAAATAATACTCAAAAATCTTTAAATGCAAATACCTACATAACATAACTACATAAAGTATTAAGTCAAAACAAAAAATAATATAAAAAAATTAATAAAAAAATAAAAATAGGAACTCTAAAAAAAGGAACTTGAAAAACGAACTTTCTGTAGGTAATGGTAATAAGTAGAGTCCGGATTTCAAGGCATTATGCTTTTTGTTAATATTATAAGCAAATATAACAGGACCCAAAATCAGGGTTGCATTGATTTAAATCACCTGATTTAAATCAATGATTAAAATCGCGATTTTAATCAAATTATTATTATATTTTAATCGCATGATTTAAATCGCGTTTTTGTAATTTGGTGATTTATAAAAAATATCAGTAAACATTAAGGATTTTTTAGCGAGTAACTGAAATTAGGCCTTTTCGGAAACGCTTATGATCACCAGCTGTTTGTTTTTTGTCTTTCTTCAATGAACATGATTGAAAAAAGACATAGTACATCAGCTGGTGATCCGGTTAATAAAATCAGCGATTCTGAAAAGGCCTAATTTCAGCTTCCGTTTATAACACGGTTACAAACGGTTAGTTGCTAAAAAATCCTTATTAAATCAAAATGCAACTATGTAATTGAATTTATCTACGCTACTGACAAATGGGATAAATTAAATTTATCTATATCTACACAACTACCACTAAGCTGGATTTATAGTGTCAGTATCAGTAACAGTAACTTAAAACTTAAGAACAGATATGAAAATAACCATTTTTTAAGTTTTACTGATAAGTTTGTTGTTAAGTGAATTTTAAATGGCTTTACGGTCGGCCGTGTTTTAATATTTTACTGCTAAAAAAAAATCGGATTTATTTGATTTTTTGGAAAAAAATCAAAAAAATCTGCAACCCTGCCCAAAATATCGACGAATTAGACAAAAACAATGTCGGAAATGCACTGTTTTTAATGCTTATTTTGCTTTTTTTCAAATTTTATGCTTATTTTATGGTTTGTGCTTTTTTACAGCTTTTTTTAGATTTTTTTGTACTGCGAAAGTATATTATATGGCAACTAGTCTAGGAAAATAGTCGAAAGATACATGTATTACAAAAAAAAAATTCCTACCCAAATGAACTTTTCAGGGATGATAGGGGGCGGGTGGGTGATAATAAAACCGAAAATATCAAACATTCACCCCTCTGGCGTTTTGCGCTATAGGGGTTGAAAGTGCGCCATTGGCGATTACTTGGTACCTATTGATTTTACAAAAAAATGTTTCAAATAAAAGAGCTGCAACATTATTTGATCTACAATGTTTATCTAAAGACTTTTTTGATTAAGGGCTGTCTGTGGTCATAAGGCCCGTTTGAAATTTTATAATGAAAATGAAAAAATTTAACCAACGTGAAAAATTTTTCCACAACACATACAACATTTTTGCTTTATGAAGTTTTTACTCACCCCCTGCCGTTTTTCAATAGGGGTAGTTTAAAGTTTATTTATTTTTTCACAAAAAAAATTTCCTTATAAAAGTTTTATAAGATTACATTTCCTACAATTTTTCCCAATAAACTTTTTTTGTAACTCATCCCCATTCAGCGGGGGGACACTTCCCTTAGGGAAATTCTAGTTTTTAGGGGTATATATTAATTTTTTTTTTTCTTTTCTCGCCTTTAGTGCATATAAAAAGGTGCAATTAACATTGTATTAAAATAAATTTTTCCAACACCTTTTTGTTTTTAGGGGTAGTTCGCCTATTTTCAACTTTACAAAAAAAAGTTATGGAGGAAAGTTGCTCAAAATAATAAAATGAACAAGTTTTCTTTGTAAATTTTTTTTGTAAAGTTGAAAATAGGCGAACTACCCCTAAAAACAAAAAGGTGGTGAAAACAAAAATCCTTTTAATACAATGTTAATTGCAACTTTTTATATGCACTAAAGGCGCGAAAAGAAAAAAAAAAAAATATATACCCCTAAAAACTAAAATTTTCCCGAGGGAAGTGTTCCCCCGCTGAATGGGGGTGAGTTACAAAAAAAGTTCATAAGGAAGAATTGTAGGAAATGTCATCTTATAAAACTTTTATTGAGAATTTTTTTTTTTAAAAAAATAAAAAAACTTTAAACTACCCCTATTGAAAAACGGCAGGGGGTGAGTAAAAACTTCATGAAGCAAAAATGTTGTATGAGTTGTAGAAAATTTTTTCACGTTGGTTAAAATTTTTCATTTTCATTATAAAATTTCAAACGGCCCTTATGACCACAGACGGCCCCTAATCAAAAAAGTCTTCAGATAAACATTGTAGATCAAATAATGTTTCACACCTTTTATTTGAAACATTTTTTTGTAAAATCAATAGGTACGAAGTAATCGCCAATGGCACACTTTCAACGCCTATAGCGCCAAACGCCAGAGGGGTGAATATTTGATATTTTCGGTTTTATGATCACCCACCCTCCCCCTATCATCCCTGAAAAGTTCTTTTGGGTAGGATTTTTTTTTTGAAAATCGACAATTTTCCTAGACTACACGCACACTCATATCAACGCGAAATAAAATAAACAAACATCCCGTCTCGCGAGTCTCGCCCGCTGTTTCTTTTTTTAAAAATCGATAATACGCGGAAAACCCCAGCCCAAAAACCAATAGATGGTACTAGTTGCAGGTAGGAAGTACTTACTTAGGGCCAGTTTATTTCACCTTGTGATAAACTGTCAGCAGGTATACAATTTGACGAATAAAAACACATGCAATCTGTAATCCCATCGGTCGACCAGTTATCCGCTGACCAATAGAATTATTGAACGGTAAATTTATCCTCCAGATAGTTACCAACAAGTTTATCTGAAGATGAATAAACCGGGCCAAATGAACCCATATGTGGTTACAAAATTTAAATACGCGCCCATGACAAGTGTTGCCGTAGAAAAAAAAAATCCAACTACAAAAACATTTTAAGTGACAGAAGACTAAACTTTACTATGGAACATTCAAATCAGCATTTAGTTATTGCTTGTTTCTACCTACAAGAACTATTTTTTTTTTATTGTTCATCAGATACTTTGTTTTGTTTATTTCAATGTTTAGTTACCTATTATATTTTTTATCATGTATTCTATAGATAAACAATAAATTTTTATTCCACTTTTCTTGCTTTTTTTGCGTTGTTTATGCATATTACATGCTTTTTTATGTGAAAAATTACATGCTTTTTAAGCGCCTATTTCAACTTTTTTCATGCTTTTTAATCCGGACTCTAGTAAGAACACAAGTAGGTAGTTCTTTTTTTTTTTTTTTTTTTTTTTTTTTTTTACGGATATGCGCACTCGCAAGGAAATGTCCTATCACGCTCGAGGAGCGGCAAGTGCGCGGAAGTTCTAGAATAAAAAAATAAAAAATGATAAAAATATTCAGAAATCAGGGTCCATGTCCATGATTAAACGATTAGGTAATGTTTAGAAATGCATTTTTAGCGAACTTTCCCTTAGAGAGGAGCCAGCGAACATTACCGTAAACTACGGTAATAGTGCGAACGTTCGCTCGGTAAAGTTCGCTTGTTACAACACTAAGTACATGACGCAGTCATGTTTTAAAATGATGTAAAGCCTGTCTCAAAATTAAAGATAAAAGTCAAAATGACATTATGTTGACAATACGAGACCACTGTAAACCTTTATTTGTTTTTAGCAATATTTTAACTCTTCCGTCTCTCTTCATCCTGGAATCGGTCACTCTAGTTCACAAACACAAATCTCTTTCCACTGCGCATCAAAGCTCTCATAGTACACGTCAAAGACATACCATACCACTTCCAATTCCACATTTTACGCTTGGTAAAAACTCTATTATCTATACTGCCATCAAATTATATAGGGTGGGCTCAAAAAAACCAGAATTTTGTTTTTGAGCTGTAACTTTTTTTGTCGTTAACCATTGAGAACGATTCAAAATGGCGGACTTTCTCAAACATTACCTAGTTTTGGATATGAAAAGGTGATATTCGAATTATTCGATATTATAAAAATTTCAATTTCACTTAGTTTTTGAATGATTTTTCCTGTCGAGATCCTAAAATGTTCGCAAAATGATTTACTTTAAGAATTTATCAGAAAAAGTTATACAGGAGGTCACAAAAAAGGTCCAGCGCTATCCAAAGTTAGGTTATTCATGAAGAAGTCCGCCATTTTTAATTTTTCTCAAATCAAATGTCAAAAGTTTCACTTTGATTCGTTAGCCTGGTCAATTCTCTCTCAAACAAGCCAAAAGGAAATTGCTCAATAACAAAAAAAGTTACAGCTCAAAAACAAAAATCCGGTTTTTTTATGCCCACCCTACTATACAATCATCAATCAACCAAATATAGACAAACTACCTACATATATAGTTTTGGAATCGGGAAATTGTGCTCTTCAAGAATATAGAACCAAATATAGGGCATCCCATTTGAAAAAAGCTGGAAGCATGCAAAATTTCACATTTCTGACATTCAAATTTTGTTTTTGACCATGGTTTCTTAAAATTCAGGCAAAACTGTACAACTTTTGTATTTACAGCTTTCATTTACTTGTAAAGGTGAAGGCTGTAGGTGGGTTGTTAATATATAAAAAAACACCCTGTACTTATATAACTTATTATATAAAGTCAGAATTTGTAAGATTATCCACTTTGTGTCAATTTGCCTTTTAAAAGGAAAGGAATTAGTAATCTTACTTTACTAAACTAGTAACATAATGTGACAACCGCAGCCATCTATTCATCAATATGTTGTTCAGTTACGATACTAACCTGACTCACTCAAATGTCAGTTGCCTTACAGTTCAACAGTATTTTGGTGAGTAGATGGCTGCGGAACTCGCTGCGCTCGTCCCATAGAGGCCTACCCATAAGTTCAGCAATAATCCACTTAGGTCCATCTTTGATAATAAAGCTTTTTCTGATTCTCACATTCCTTTGGAGTATCAAATTAAAAACGACGGAGTTTTTTTTTGTACTTGTTGAGGCGCTCAAATAAAATTGACAAATAATTTGGCTTTTGCTCCATAATGGCTGGCACTATTTTATTCATTTGTCAAGGTTTTAACCAAATGTTCTTGCTTGAATACCTACTTGTAAACTCTACACGTCATGTGAGCACTCTGCTTGCCATGGCTGATACCAAACCTGGTATACTTGCCATTTGCCAAGTAAGCAAATAATTGTGTACTTGCATAAATTACACTATGAAGTTTCATTGAATGAATAAATAAAAATAAAATCATTGGAATTTGTATAAGTATGTATTTTATTAAAATTGAAGTTTTTTTTTTAATTGATACATTTAAATTCAAATAGTTGATAGAATTAGAATAATTAATTATTAGTTTGTGATTAAAACTACGCAAATTCTGATCTGAAGGGATCCAGAAATTTGCTTATCTTCTCTTTTTTTCATCATGGTACTTCCAATTGCAATGTAATTTTGTGTTCATGACTCAACTTGTACTTTATCCTTTTGCAGTCAGTTGTCTTATATTGATATACAGGGTATTTTCTAATTGAATGTCAATATTTAAGGGGGCGATTTTTGGATTGATAAGATTTTAAAAATAAATCATTTATTATTAGTAGTAGTAGTAGTAGTAGTAGTAGTAGTAGTACACATGCTTTATTGTCCAAGAAACTCTAAATCTTATTGACAAAGCAAACTTAATTTAAAACACTTAAATCTATTCATTATTAAAATTACAAATAAAGTATCTACATATAAAAACACTCAGAGTAAAAAAAAGCAAGAACAATAGAAAAACAAAAATATCTGACAAGTGATAGCTTCATATTTCTCAACAAATAGATAAAAAGCTATGATAAAAAAAGATTAGCAACTAATTTGGTTAATATGCACCCAACAAGGTCTTTCAATATTATCTGTGGAGAACAATAAATAATTAGGAAAAAACAAATGAACAGTCTAAAATAGAAAAAAAAAACAACAATATATATAAATAGTTTAAAATGAGAAATATAAATATTAATATCTATTCTGTTACTGTTAAGACCCCTTTGGATATTTTAATGAAGTTTGGCATACTGTACTATTTATCAAGAGACATTTTCTAATGTAAAGCCTGTTTTTTTTTAAAGATAAAAGTCAAAATGACATTATGTTGGCAATACAATGTACAGTTGTCAATGCTTTTAAATTTTTTATGTAGAAAAGGCTTGTGTTGCCAACATAGTTACTAAATTTTTGACTTGGGGAATTATCTTTAAAAAAAACAGACTTTACCACATTCTTTCAATTTCCACCAGTGGCATTTGTACGGAATTTGACCTGCCAATTATGATAGGGTTCATTTCACGAAGGTTTTTACTTTTGACATCGATAGTGTCATAACTCGGGAAAAACTATTTATCGTAGATTGATTCATATAAATTCAATAGCGTTCAGATTTTGTATTGTATTGAATGACTTCTGGCTTGAAAACCAACGAACGTTTTTGACGTAATTAATTTGTTTTAGTCAAGCGTAAGTACAAACCCTTGTGGAACGAACAGTATGCCACCGATTTCTCTTAAAATAAAAATTATTGAAATCCCCATTCCCAAATCAATTCTAAGCAAAGTTGACCACTTGACGCATGGTTTTCACCAAAAAAAAATTAATCTATTTCTTGGACACACGTCCTTCATATGAAGTTTACTTCTTGAAATAGACCCTAAAATAATAAGCTGCTTACGATCAAGCACTTTTCTTACCTAACTTAAAGAATCTAACTTAGTTGCGCGTACGATCTATCACAACTAAGTTAGAATCTGCCTTCCCCCCTTTCCCCTGCTAAGACACCCAGATTTTTAACTGAGATAACTTAGCTGACCTAAGTTGGCGCGAAGTACGCATTTTTCGAAATTTGAATTGAATTAATAAAAACAACAAACTGAACCTGAAACTCTCGTCGTAACTAGAACCCGAACTAGAAATATGTGACGTGAGTCGTAACTTGATAGGCAGCTGGCAGCTGATCAGCCTATATGAATTGCGCGTACGATCAAACAACTTAGCTCAGCTAAGAAACTAACTTTAACTTAGGTAAGAAAAGTGCTTGACCGTAAGCAGCTTGTCTCCTTGAATATTGTCAATATTGACATTCAATTAGAAAACACCCTGTATGCAGTAAAACAAGCTACAACTACTTAGTTCATCTTCATGTTATCCCATTTTGACGTTTAAAAATGACATTATTGAACGCATAACGATAGAGGTAAGTAGACGTGTATCACCTCACTGATTTAAAAAAAATTTAAGTCACTCTCGGCATTGATAAGTCACTCTGCCCAACTAAAAGTCCGACACCTCAGTGATTTAAAATATTTTTAACTCACTCTGGGCATTTTTACTTGTACTTTATTTTGTAAATTCCCACAAAATGGGATAAAATTTTGTATACATCACGTGAGTTAGAATGTTTTATTCATTCGAACTTTCTTCTCATGAATAAACATTCATTTAACTCACTTGGTGTATAAATAACTATTATCTATAGGGTTTTTACACTATATCCAATGAACCCTATATCAGAGATGGCTATATTTAGGATGACATCACATTTACATCAGAATTAATGTCATCATAAATATAACATTAATCTGTGTATAACATAAAAAACCTAACCCATAGATGAATGTACATACTTAATGCATAACGTGACCATACGACCCGTTTTCAACGGGACAGTCCCTTATTTCAGCTCTCCGTCCCGGGCCTGTATTCTCGTAACCAGGGAACACCGTTCTCTCAAGAGAACGGTTGCTCTATCTTTGTCAGTATTATGGCAATAACAATATGGATGACTAAGACAGAGCATTCGTTCTCTTGAGAGAACCCTGTTCCCTGGAGACGAGAATACGGGCCCTGGTGTCCCCGAGAAACACTACGGGACGCGAAATTGTCCCGTTTTCCCAAACCCCACGGAAAAGAAAATAATAATGGCGTATGTCATATCATAAATGTTATATGCTTGAATTTCACTCCAGTGTGTCTGCGTCTATTCTCGAAATCGGCGAAAACTGAACAGCGTTCTCACGAGAACGATTGCGCTGTCTTTGTCAGTGTCATAGAAATATAAATATGGGCGACTAAGACGGAACCTTCATTCTGATGAGAACGCTGTTCCCCGTTTTCGAGAATAGACACCCAGTCAGGACTAGAGTGTTCGGTCAATGGCTCACCTGGTTCTCGAACGCACCAGTAGAAAGGGTCTTTTCTTTGATGAACAAACTGTGGACAACAGAAAAAACCCAGTTACAGGTCTCGGTTATCAAGGCAATATTGATAACCAAGATTAAGATTAAAAAAACGTGCCAAGAATTTTAGCTCTGTTCCAACCGTTCCAGAACCAACAATTTCGAGTTGCACACCTATTTTTCAATAAGTTGAGCGTTTATCCTACTTGACAAATGAATTGATCGACTGGAAATTATCGTTCTAGAACGGTTTTCATGTCGGTTGGGATAGAGCTAATTCTTACATGGTTACCGGGTCCTTAAGGAGGATTTTCATGCATCCGTTTTTCCGACGAAATATGTCCGTTTAACATTCTATTCTGACATAATCGTATATAAATATGTCAAAATAGAAGACTTTACGGACATATTTCGACGGAAAAACGGATGCATGAAAATCCTCCCTTATTCTTAAAACAGGGGAGCAACGTTCCCAAGAGAACAAGTGTTCCATCTTTCTAAATGACATGCAAATGATATCTAATATAAGTAACAAAGACAAAACACTCGTTCTTCTGGGAACGCTAATCCCCGGTTTCTGTTTTTAGAATAAGGACTGGTGATGATTTCAGGGTCCTTATTCTAGAAACATTTATTGAATCAGATTTGTTCCTCTGAAAAATATAAAAACACCTGAGCAATTATGTTTCATACCAATACTTATTTAAATTTGCAGTACTCTTTCAATAATTAAAATAAAACTTATTAAGAATGTGTTTTTTCTATTGTGAAACTGGTAATTGACTTAAATAAGCGTTTGTCCCGTTTTGAGTCCAGAAATAAATGGTCACGTTATTAATGCATTGCAATTTCGATTTTGGAATAGGAGAATGTCCAAAATGCAAATGCAGGAACAATTTTATTTAAAAATAGGTGAAATTCTGTGTTAGAGAGAAAAACTTCATTTGACAACATTCTGTACAGAGTACAGTCTTAATTTGTGTCTACTCTTGTGGTCTTCCCCTCACACACAGAAACAGCAATGCCTGTGTAAATTAACCTACAATACTTGTAGCCCCACGCAATGCCAAATATCCAGCAGTAATATCCATAGGCAAATCAATCAGGGTGGCGTATTCATCCTTGTTTGCGTAACGCAATCGACTTTGTGGGTCCGTGTAGTTAGCTGATAGGCCAGAAAGATCTGAAAATTTTTCGGGAGGCTTAAACGACGGCGGTGCATTGATACTACTGTAGTGTACCACGTTTTCAGGCCAGGGTAACGCTTTCTCCGATGAAATTATTTGTTTGAGTCCTTTCCAAGTGCGTTTCTTCGATTGTCTTGATGAGAACCAGGAGGTCGATTTGAAAACTGGTTTTTGCTCGGTAGTTTGAGAATCTGAACTCATTTTAATACATACAAATAATTATTAGGTTTAAATAAACTTTCACTATTTCTTGTCTTGGAATGCTGTTAATAATATTTTGTTTGTTTACTTCTTTTCATATTTCATGCATGTTACCACTCATGACAAAAGCTTAACCTCACTTTTCATTTTTCAATGAACCAGTGCTGCCAAAACTCCACAAGAGGTTTTCATTTGGATCTGATAGACCTGTTCCAAGCAAGGTTTGATAAACAAAACTGTTTTCATAATAGGTGTTGATATCATTCCATTCTCATAAGAATAATACCTTTTGTTCCGAGAATGGAGATCTTTAGGCGTTATCTCGCGTCCATTTTTATTGAAACTGGTTCAAAAATTTTTCGAAACAGTAAATTCTCGCGATAAACCCATGACTTCACGTCAAAATTGGTTCAAACTGTTTCGAAGGTATGGGCATCTACGCGTAAATAAAGATTGTCTACGTCTGGTGTAAACAACGCGTAGACAATGTAAACTATGTAATCTATGTGGACAACGTGTAAAATACAGGCGCGGATCCAGACCGAAATTGAGGGGGGGCCATACAAAATATTGGAACGTACAGGGTGGAGCAGTTTTAGCTAAATTATTGTCAGAAATTTGAAATTTTGCGTACTTTCAACTTTTTTCAAATAGAATGCCCTATATTTGATTCTATATTCTTGAAGAGCACAATTTTCCTATTCCAAAAATATATAGTTTCTCTATATTTATTTGAGTCGTCTCTACCATATTTGATTTCAAAAATACTATCAGAGAAACCAAGTGCCTCAAACTTTACCTGAAGCTTTCATCAGAATGGATCACAAAATCGTCAGTAGGATAGTATTTTTCCAATTTTTAGAGCCAAATATGTTGAAGGCGGCTCAAACAAATATAGACAAACTATATATTAGAAGCAAATATAGGGCATTTCATTTAAAAAAGTTGAAAGTACGCAAAATTTTAAATTTCTTAGAATAAAATTTGGTTTTTGACGATGGAACTGCACAACTTTTGTGTCCACACCTACCATCTACCTGTAAAGGTAAAGGGTGTCAAATTATAACTAGACACCCTGTAAAGGGTGTTTCCTTATATTTTGACCCCTACCTACAGCTTTAGCTATACGAGGTGGAAAAAAACTTTAAATATGAAAGTTGTAGGGTTTTATGTCTAATATCTTTTGCGAATGTCAAATCTGGCAAATGACAGGTGCCAACTGTCACAATGATAAACACTTGCATTTTTCAAATGGAACACCCTGTATATTTTTGGCTAGAATGAAAGCTTATTTTCTTTTGATTCCAAATATACTATACCGCTCACCGCTATAACTTTTTTATTTTTTCAAATAAACAAATGAAATTTGGTGTGTTTATTTCTTTATGACCCGGATGTGCATTATTTGACGCATTCAATTTTTTACTCACTTCCGGTTTGACCGGAAGTGACCCTAACTTCCTTATTTTAAATGAGACGCCAGGTAAATTTTTCCTCATTTCAATAGAAAACTACATTACGAGTACAATGACACCTCATTTGTCACTTTTTGATATTTCACCTCCAAATTATTTAAATTTTTACTTTTCAATCTAGAGCGCCATGAATAAGTTAAAATGTTTAATTTTGCTCCTAGAAACATGGTAAAAGGACCCCGCACATTTCTTATGGAAAAGTGATCTATGTGGAATTTTGCTGAATTTTTGATATTGTGTAGAGTGTAGAGGGAGTCCTGCTTAACAAAAGTTATCATTGCGCTAATGTTTAATAGCGAACAGTTTTTAATATATCAATTAAAAACTTTTTTAATATAATACTCTTCTGTATGACGTCACCTGTACGCTCACAGCACCGAAAATGATTACTATCCTCTCCACTTTTGCTTTGACTATACTTTTCTCCTTTTAACATTAAGAAATAGAAAAAGATAGCCATAGCGATGAGTGACAAATAACTAGGTAAACAAGTGTATTGTCTATTATCATCCTGATGGGTAAACAACACCTAGCTCCTGCCCTGCCGCAATCGTCAACGTCATGTCATGTCAGTCATATAACGATTTCATTTGTACCTGTTGTTGTTTTTTTTTTATTTCTTAATGTTAAAACGAGAAGAGTATAGTCAAAGTCGTAAGTGGAAAGGATAGTAAATCATTTTCGGGGCTGCGATCATATTGGTGACGTCATACTTAAGAGTATTATATTAAAAAAGTTTTTAATTGATATCTTAAAAACTGTTCGGTATTAAACATTAGCGAAATGTTAACTTTCGTTAAGGACGACTGCCTCTGCACAATATCAAAAATTCAACCAAATTCCACATAGATCACTTTTCCATAAGAAATGTGCGGGGTCCTTTGTTTTGAGCTTATTTTTTATTTTATATCCTCTACAGACTCATTTAAAGTTAGTAGCAGCGCATTTTTAGTATTATATCAATTTTTTCAAATGGAAAGGGTATTAGGGTTTCCATAAAGGTTTTTCGGAATTCAGGACAAAGGTGTCAAGAAATCCGGACAAAATCCGGACTTCGCCGAAATAGCTATAGTATGGTAAGTGAAAGGCGAATGCGACAAAATTCACATTCGTGAAAAAAGGTTCACTTTACAGTTTACACACGTGGCAAAATTTTCTACTACCAATAAATATGTAATATAAAAAAAAAGAAATTTAGACAAATACTTTACGTACTAGTGCGTAAAGTGAAGTAATTTACTAGAGAAAATTACATTGTTGACATCTGTCATTGACATTGCTTCACGCGCTAGTAGGCAATTTTTTGCGAGGATAATCAAGCATAATCTGATTATGCTGGGTTATGTGATGTGTGAACTGTGTCATACTCCCCTAACTCCCTCACCATTCAATTCTGGGCCTGCGAATGACGTTCCTACCAGCAGCTTATAGTGATATAATATCGTCACCCGCAGACCACGATGGAATGCTTGCGATTCAGGCTGTGCTAGTGAGTTAACTTTTTCGTCGGTTTCAAATGTAGAAAAGGTGATTTTCGGTCTGTTCTCAACGAAGAAGTTTAGTGTTCTTGATCCTCGAGTATCCCAGAATTTGATGGTGGGTGAGTTAGGGGAGTATGACACATCACCAGGGCCGGATTAAGGGGGGGGCTTTGGGGGCTAAAGCCCCGGGCCCCGTAATGAGGGGGGCCCCAAAACCCAACCTCACACGGAGAAGAAATCATGCATATAATTTTACAATTTCGATTTCGTCATCTATTATCTATCAATTATATCAAACACAACACTACCCTATAATATTGGCGAAATTCCTATACCAATAGATGGCGCTAAATTACGCGAAAAATAGCAATATGTCTGCCGAACTCAGTGAATAACAAAGCCAGTTTTTTGAGGTTGGTTTTTGTTAAATTGTGTTTTATGGTGTTTTTGTGATTTATATAACAGAAACAATACATAATATTCTGTAGAAAATTGAAAACTTCCAGAAACAATGCCGGGGGCCAAATGCAAACTTGCTTTGTTGTTCACTGAGTTTTGAGTACCAAAGTTGATCATAGATGTCGCCTACTTCGGGACCTTTCGCGAATTATTATTGAGTAGCTGGTATAATTATTGATAGATGGCGCACTATCCGCATAAAAGCTACAGTGGCTAAATAAACCTTTACATACAGTGGCGACAATAGAGGTCTCGCCGCCATTTTGTTCCCAACCTCTTGTTACTTTTAAATATTAATATATAAGATTTAAATGGACTTCTATCATAAAAAATTGAAATCGACGTATTTGATTACTATTATTAGGTCCATCAAATACGTTGTTTTCCATGTTTTGTGATGGATGTTCACCCAAATCTCATATATTCATATTTGAAATAAGCAATAGGTGGGAACAAGATGGCCGCGTTTTCAATATAAATATATGGGATTTTAGAACCAATCAAAAATAAGACAGCAATTGTCGCCACTGTGGGTAATAAAGTCACTGTAATAAAAGCTACAGTGACTTTATACAAGACAGTGGCGAAAATAGGAACCCTGATAGGGCCCACCCGCCATGTTTTGTCAAAACAAAATTGCTTAAAACTCCATAGGATTAAATAATAAAAACAAATTGCTTTTGTCAAAACATGGCGGATGAACTACGTAATTCTGAGAACCAATCAAAAATGAGAAAACGAGACAACCCACTGTCGCCACTGTCTTGTCTAAAGTCACTGTAATAAATGCACCTGCAAGGTAAATAAGTTTTGTTTGAGTGACGTTTGAATTTATTTCAGGGACCTGGGGGGCCCCTTTTGTGAAAATAGCCCCGGGCCCCAAAAGACCTTAATCCGACCCTGCACATCACATAATCCAGTATACTCGAGTATGCTTGGTTATCCTCGCGAAAAATTGCCTAGTAGGATGTAAAGTGACTTACTTTACGTACTAATGCGTGAAGTAATGTTTTACGTCTTTTGGATAGTGCGTGTAAACACTGTAAACTGAGTATGAGTGTTTTCACGATCTCCGAGTTTTCCGGACGTTGTTCCGAATTCCGGCCGGACTTCCCCGGACACTCTAAAAACCCAAACATGTCCGGGTAAATCCGGACGCATGGAAACCCTATAATCATATTTAAAGTTTTTTTCCACCTCGTATAGCTAAAGCTGTATAGTCTGGCTGGCCAAACGGCGAACTCAAAAAGAATTTGCTGCTATGCCAAACTTGACAAAAACAATAATAAACAAGTTGGTGACATATTTTCTTTTGCAATATGTGCCGTGTACTTAGGCCGTAGTATTTTGAAATAGGAAAAAATCCGGCAACATTACAAAATGAAGGAAGCGGAGAGGCGTGATCATTCAGAGGCGTGATTCTATTGGTTAGAACCTGAACGACAGCACCATTGGCGTGGTTATTCGTGAAACTCAAGAATTTTTTTCCTAATAATTTTTTCGTTTATTTCCTTGGTGTTTTTGGTGCCACTGAACCCAAAGACATGGTTGTCATCAGGCGGTGTCAGTTGAGGTGTCAGTGAATATTCTTAGGTAACGCCCCACTTTTCTTCCCCCTTTCGTCTCTACCAAGTTACCACTTGCCAAACTATAGGTAGGGGTCAAAATATAAGGAAACACCCTGTACATACAGTGGTACAT